GTGTCTTAAAATACAAGTGCCTCGCTGCCTCCTTTTGTAACATTTTCTATGGAAGGTCGAGTCACAGCAGCTATCAACCTTTTGCTTCTTGTCAACACACTTGCCTGCTGTGCCTGAGTAAGCTTTATATAATCCCTGTCTTGCTGTGCTTGTAAACACTGTTCAGCAAAGGACCAGTGAGAGTGAATCAGACACACGGCTGGTATGAGAGTGATATACTTTATGTGAATATTGTTTTATGTGTTGATAGAGTTTTATACTCCGTGATACACCAAGACTTGCCTATGCCAGCATTATTTGAGCCTTTAAATGGCCAAGAAAATGACACTTCAGAGTGATCAACATGCGAGGTATGACAAAGATGGAAGTTGTAAATCTTGTAGAATCAGAGTGAGTCTTAAATGTTTGTCGACATAATAAAAATGGGTGTTTTCAGGAAGCTAAGTTGCAGAGTACATCAAGAGTTAACCCATATAGCCTGGAATTTATAGGCACAGCATTTTAGTTCATGTTGGTTCAGAGATGATAAGGTGAACTGTTGACTCAGATCAAAACTAAACATCTATAGTCCTTTTTAGGAGCATCTCATATTTCTAACATCTCAACTCTATGAGAAAACTTTTGATGAATACCAACTGAGGTTTGGTGACTTACTGAGGACATCTAGTGGCAGTACTAAAGGCATACAGCTGGATGCTCCCATATGAACATCCTTTAGTACAGTGTGATTTTGATTAGTCAGGGTTTACATATATACTTACAGACAGGTGACAAATTAAAGGGGAAAAATAAATGAATGAGGAATGCAGATGATACCATACAGGGGATGATGGGTCAGAGGATCATTTGGTGAGATTTGAATCCTATGTTATGCTTGTAATACTCACCAGATCTCCATTCAACTCAACACCCATGGGAGATTTTGTACCTACATACTCATTATTGCTCTCCACCACCATTATCAAAAGACAAAGTTGGGGTGAACGTGTTTTAGTCATCCACCTGTAGATGCATCTCTGACCCAGTTCTTTTTGTGAATGGCACTTTAGAAGTATTACAGATGATATTAAACATTCACAACAACTACTCGTTTTTGAAAGGAACACACATATGAAAGGGCTGCAGCTACTGATCACCTCCTATTAGCACATGGGGCTCCACTGTACAACCAAACATATCACAAACTGCTGCCAAAGTACAAGCTCAGACCATAAGGTACCACAAAGAACCACAAATTGTTATACAATATCATAAAAAAGTCCTTCCTCACACACTGTGTTCCTCACAGTCCATGTTTGAAGTTTTAGGAATGAAGTGGATTTCTTTCGTTTTAAATGTTTATCAATGCCTTAAAAAAAGAAATACAAAAACAACAATAGCTCCTTTTGTTGATTCACTTGTGTCTTTATGGCAATTTCTATCGGCTTTGAAGCATATCCTACAAACTTTTTATTTTACAGGTTGTACAGGTTAGTCAGTTCATTCAATAGGTTGTTTCAGAGTCATTGGGTTCTGTAAATGTAGAACAATACAAAAATGAGTTGACATTAAAAATCTACTTTTGAATACTTAAGTATTTTTACAAGCAGGCACTCCAATACTTTAACTCAAGCAAAAATCTGACTGAACAACTTTCACTTGTATTGGAGTAATATTTGACCAGGACTATCTATGCTTTGACTCAAGTAATGAAGTTGTGTACTTTGTCCACCTCTGACCTCAGCCACACTCCTATCAACAACTGTAGTTCCTCGAAAGTGAGGTAAACACAGTCTTTGTCCACACTCCAACTTCACCAATTCAGTGTGGTTAGATAAAACCAAGAAGTAAACCCCATACGGCCCGCAAGCCCGAACACGGGCCCTGTAGAAGGTTCTGAACCTTCTCTGATGGAGTAAACCCTTAAATGTTTGTTAATGTAGACAGACTGTACCTCGTTCGATCGGTTAGAGTCTCTAGAAATCAAACATTCTGCTCATCTTGCACTAACCATAAGCACATAAATATGACTGTGTAGAACTCCTGATTCTCACTCCATTCCTCCATTATTTGTATTCCTTTAGTCCGTGAGCGATTTGTGTCTGTTGCTCTTCCCTCACTTCTCTCTTTCTCCGTCTAGTGCTTCTGCGGCTGTGTTAGCGGGTCTGCTATTGTTTGTCAGCTTCCTCGCTACAAAATGGAAGCCTCCCTGTAAAGATCCAGTCAGATTTCACTTCAGGGAGGTCGGGGGAAGAAGGCGAGTGTAACCAAGTGTAAGACATAATGACATGTTCTCCCTCGGAAAAAGCCTGTTTCTTTTTGTCACAGCTCTTTTGAATGACTCTAGCTTGTAGATTGACGTCTCTTCTGACCAATCAGAGCAAACTAAGGGGGTTGGACACTTCAGAAGCAAGGCCAATAGGCTTTGAGACCTGAGAGCCGGCAGTCTGAGCTTCATGACACACACAGGCATCAGCTCTGTTTTGAATGGTTCCAAAAGGTTTCTTAGGCATCAAAATGCTTCAGTGAGTTTTTTGTTATTTCATATTAAAGAGTTAAAGCACATTTCTCATAGTTTTCCTTTTAGAGAGGTTTATGGGCGCCAGTGAAAAAATGAACTATAAAGGCCTACTAAACTCAACTATCAGGGCTAGAGGCCGTGAAGCTTCACAGAGCAGTTTTTGACAAGATGTAGAAGTATTATGGAGCTTTTTCACTGTTCTTGTATAAAGTATAGCAGGGTAGCAGGGGTGTCAAAAAATCGATACTCATACTAATCGATACTAAAAATTAGTATCGGATTGGATACTCATTTGCAACAGTATCAATACCAACAGTGCCGTCTTCGCCTGCTCCAGTTGACACACAACTTTATACAACACCACTGCAGACACACAGCCCCTCCCCTCACTAGCAGTTGAACAAATGAACGCTACTTGACGTTCACAACACTGAGCCAGCGTCGCCAACATAAAACTAAATTAACATGGCAATTGCTGCTGCTGAAGGACCTTCGCAACCTGTTTTAGTTGAAAATGAAAGTGCTGTTTGGAATTATTTTTTATTATTATTTTACCTGGCTGGCAGCACACGTTAACGTTAGCCGTTTAACTATTAGCAATTAGCTGATAGCCACATTAGACATCTGCTAAATTGTGATTAAGCTAGCGGCTATGGCTAATAATAAAACAACTAACGTTAATGTGGGAGCTAGGCAGCAAACATTATCAGTCCTGCCCGTCTGTAACGTTAGTAGACAGTGTAAATTAAACAGCATAACACAATTATTTGTGTCTGAAAAGTGTTATTTTTCTCTTAAAGTTCCAGATTGAAGCTGAGAAAAGTCGACAGAAACAGCTGACGCTACCAACTCTATTTGATCAGCAACAAAAATATGGTGCCAAGTCACCAGAAGCACAGAAAATAAACAGGGCAGTAGCTGAATACATTTGCATGTCATATATATACACCTTACAGTAAGGTTACTGTTTTTTGGGGGGGGTTTTTTGCACTACCTCAGACAACCTAAAAGTAGTGTTGTCATTGATGTTGTTTGTCTTGTTCTAATATTTATTTTTTTAAATGTATGCATCTTAATTTTTTGTCATTTTTTCTCCCCGTGGTATCAAAAATAGTATCGAGTATCGTGTATTTTCCTGGGTATCGGTATCGAGTTTGAAATTCTAGTATCATGACAACCCTAACTGGTAGTCATGTAATATGATTTTTTTTTTACAGGTGAGGACTAAAAAATACAAAAAAATACCATGTATGAGCTGATGCAGTTTAGGTTGGGTTGTCACATGCAAAACCAGCACATTTTCACAAACTACAATATGTAATAAGTTAAATGAGGTCTCATAAATGCATTTTGGCCTTACAGTTTCCTTCTGTTATAAACTTATTATATTTACATATGCAAATTGATGCAAATTAGGTTTAAAACAGGTTTGCTCTAAGAGGTTAAATATGTATGGAACAATTGTCCTAAACCTCCCACACTGTATTTAAATAGGCTTGTCATTCAAACTGGTGCTATGGTTTAATGAAAGAAAGGCACAACCTGAAGGGAGTCAGGTGCATTTTTTTATTTCTTCAGTGACTAGAAATTTTGCTGTGTGTGAAATCTGCAGGGCACTTGATCCTCCGGTACCAGCCAAACTCAATCCCTCATCTTTGTCACCAATTCAAGTCACAAGACATCATGAAAAAGACACAAATGTAACAAAAAAAGTAATTTTCCAATAACAAAAAGTAAAAAAAAAACCTTGAAACAATGATCATTGTCATCAAATAACAATAAATAAGGAGCGCTCTTCCCTGTACAGAGATATATTCTAATCTAAAATCTTTCATAATAAAAAATAGATCATCAGTGCATTTCCTCTGACACGTTTCTGCTGCTCCTTCAATATTTCCACGATGTGACTCTCGGTTACCCTGGCATTAAAGCAATGGCCTTTAGAACAGAAACAATCAAAGCATCAAATATTAACCCTCCTGAACAACACAAAAAAGCAGGTATAAAATTTCACAGCCTTCTCTTTGTCTGTCTGTACTGTACATCTCAAAAAGCTAACCTGGACAGAAAAGGCACAAGTAACTATAGTTTGAGTAATACTGGACAAAATCTGGACAAACAAAAATGGAATTGTGTTTCAATAAAGATTTTGGTCATTTACAACTTTATTCATATTCCTTTTACATATATTTAAACAGACATTAAGATTACCGGTATCAATAGAGATACAGGAGGGATATATCGCTTTCCCATTCAAGTAAATGGGATATTATATATTGGTGTGTGTGTATAAATATATGTGTGTACATATATATATATATATATATACATACATATAGACATATATATGTGTGTATATGAATATATATGTATATATGTATATACACTGTATATATACACACACACACACACACACACACACACATATATATATACATATATATGTAGACACATATACATATATACGTATATGTAGAATTTATTTATATAGATTTACAGAAACATTATTTTCACAAAGAAAAAAGTGCATTTTTATAACAAACCTGAATGTTGCCAAGGAACAAACATTTAAGTTAACAATAGTATTGAAAACTGTATAAAAACAAAGCAATAAAAAACAAGACTAGTGTAGCAACCAATAAAGCAAAATGGGATGCATGATGCATCAAGGTGTAGACACTGTTAAGTACTCTGGTCTGTTCTGGCTGAGTCTCCTTTAGCTCCTTCCTCCACCAGATCATTACCAGATGGTGGCTCCTCCCCCTCTGGCTGCTGTCCAATGACATGCGAGGCTACGGGGGCTGCTCGACTGAGGGCTGCTCTCCAACGACTGTCTCTGACGCAGCGCTCGGTGGTCTCAGTAGCAGACCTGTGGGTGTGTGCGGAGCTATGTGAGCTGCCATATTGCTTTGAGTCTGTGGTCTCCAACTCCGGTTTGGAACGTGTTAGTGCTGTGCTGAGACCGCACCGCCCTGACTGGCTGGTTCCTGCTGCCTGGTGCTCTGACCAGTGGTCTCCAGGAGTCCTAAGCCCTTGAGTTCTGGGGGTCCCGCCCCAGTATGATTCAAACCTGGCCAGTGATGGCCCCTCCATGGGGGGAGATGTTGGGGATGATGGGGTGGTAGGGTGGGACCTGGGTCTGGCCTGTACCATTTGGATTCCTCCGATGGGGATCATCAGATAGGGGACCTTGGCTTGTTGGGAGTGCATGGGAAGATGGCTGAAGATGTTGTCTGCTGCTTGGTGGCCAGGATAACCCTCACAGGTAGAAAGACGAAAAGCAGGTGGAAACAAGCTGGCTTCTGTTAATGTTGGCCCTTCACCTGCTGTACCACTTTTCTCCTGTAGGGGGAGCAAAGACTTCATCATTACATTTTATGGACTTGCTCTGCCAGTACACAAGGTACTTTACACTGAGATCCTCCTAGGAGGAAAGTGCAGTGGTTCCTGTCTGATTCACGAATCTATGCAGACCTATAATAAAACAGACTCACCGGTTTGACATGACTACCCTTTGTACTGGGACTCTCCCAAGGCAGGTATCCAGCGGTTCTATGCTGTAACCCGAGTGGCAAGGGGGGGGTCCGGGCTTGTGATGACCGGTAGCAGCTGGGCGAAATGGGACGAAGAGGAGAAAGGGGTCTGATAGGAGATGGTCCTCTTTCAGGGGAGGGTGAGACATGTCGACTTGGTGAGGACAGCTCAGTCCTGGGGGAAAGGCTGTGGATGGGCGAGGACAGTTCCAGACGAGGGGAGAGGCTGCGGCTGGGAGAGCAGCTCTCACTACTGGGGGAGAAGGCTCTTGGTGAGGCCTTCCAGCCCCGCCGGGAGAACAGTGCTCTCCTGCTGCCTGGAGAGGCGGCTCGTCTGCTTGGCCAAATTCCCCTCGGGGAACGCTCCTGACATGGGCTGGGACTGGGGCCTGGAGGGGGCTCAGGGTCAGGGGTGCCCTGCTGAGAGTGCCTACTGCAGCTGGAACGTCCTCCTGTTGATATGTGGGTGTCTGACGAACAGGAGGATGGTGGGTCATCATGGGATGCAGACTCCTCTTCCTCATCATCATCGTCATCATTGTCATCATCGTCCTCAGACTCCTCCACGTCGGAAAATTGATGTTCCTCCTGCTCCTCTGAGCCACACACACGTTCATCACTGCCTGCTGTTTGTGCAGACACAGACAAACACACACATCCTTTAGGTTTTATCTGTCTACATCCATATAATGAAACTCCTGTGCCGAATGTACAAAGTGAAAAAAATTCTCACGTTAAGAGACAGTCGAAAACACATTGACGGAACAATTTTCAGGAACAAGCAGAAAGGATTAGGACAGCATACTTTATCTTTCTGACAAACCTCACCCACCACCCATCAAACCAATGTTATAAATAGATTGAGGATGAAAAGACCGGAATTTAATTGAATAGCACCATGCCTCTATTCACAAACTATCTCCACAGCCTTGTGAATGGAAAGACGGTTTAAATGGCGCGTCCTTGGCTGAGATGAGTGTAGTCTGTCAGCAAGAAAGAGACGGCAAGGGGAGGGGTAGAAGAGGAAGGTTAGGGAGGAGATCGTGAGGTGGCTGGCTTTGACGGGGGCGGGGGCAAGTATTGGAATGAGTATTGTCATATGCCAGCAACATCATCCTGAGGACAAGGTAAACTTGCCAAACTGCTGCAGCTACATGCTCTGTATTCTTCATTTATTTAACTTAAAAAATTGTATACTCTTTCTTATGCAAGGCCAAAGGGAGAAGAATAGAACATGGTGTTGCATAAGCTGTCAGTGCTGAGCAACTACAATTCTTCATAGGCAGAAGTTCATCCTGCTGTGTACCAATATTTCTCTGCAGTGGTAGGGAAATATGTAAGATTTCCTCCCCATCCCCTTCGTAAGTACCTGTTTCCTCGCTCTCTGGCTCGTCCAGTGATGACTCAGATACTCCCATTGCCTGGCATTTTTTCCCATGAGCCTTTGACTTCATGTGTTTAGTAAGGTTTCCTGGGAAGGAACAAGAAAAGCACATTACAATTGCTCTTGACTTACACAGGGCAAGGAAAATGAAGATAATTCACCAACAGAGGTAAAATGTGATCACTGGGTATAACATAGATGACAACAAAATTCATGTTTTAAGTAACTTGTAAGTCATTCCCTTACCTTTGGTTTTGAAGGCAAAGTTGCAGTGTTTGCAAATGTACGGACGGACATCAGTGTGTGTTCGAATGTGCTTTTTTAGCATGCTGGGCTTCTTACAGCGGATGCCACATTCTCCACATATGTACTTTCCCCTGCCACGGCCTCGCACATAAACATACTCTTCATTGGATTTGTACCTAAGAGAGAGCAGAAAGACACCGAAAGATAAGAGGTTTGGCTGCCGCAAAATCACAATTTAGGGTTGCTTCCATATAGACCACTGATTTTACTGCATGGTAGAATTTAGCAGCTGAATGCACAAAAGCTAAGCTTCTCGGTCTGCACAACCAAAAATATCAGCCTCTTTAGCTGCTGAATGCTCCACAGCTAGATGTGAACGGTTACTGTCTGCTGTTGGGTGGTGGGTGGGTAACATACGGTGGTTTTGCAGAGGTTTTTCCCTGAAAACAACTGTATGTAGCTGGAGGAAATAAGGTTGATGACAGTGGAATTTGTGACGTGAAAAACCAAAACAATGCACCACGAGACGTTAAACACTCTGAGGAGCTGAGGGGAAATGCAAGGCTGCCGCTTACACATAACACAGTCATTTGCCCTATTGTAAAAAAAAAAAAATTGATTAGTGCAGCTTTAACTGAAAAGGTTGAATGAGGATGTGGGTCTGTGTGCAGGACAAATATATGCATACACACGCACCCAGGACACACACACACACACACACACACAGAAAGAGAGAGAGAGAGAGAGAGAGAGAGAGAAGCTGGGAAACAAGGCTCTCTTTATGGAGGCGGGTTGGGGAAGCCCCACCAAAACCCCAGCAGCACTGAGTTCCTGGGCTGTTCCCTCCACTACACCCTGGGCACACAGAGAATACCAGCTATTCTGCTGTGATCGGGTAGCCCTGCCAACAACAGCAGCAGCTAAAGAGGGGGAAGGGAAGCCTGGCTATGGCCAACAACCTAAAATAGACACTATATATAAAAATCAAGCAACACATTTAGTTCTAGTCTATAAAAACATTGTTTATACTCAATCTTGATGTTTACCAAAAGGTTATTTGTGGACACAGTGGACCACAGACGTTTTATATCCGAATGAATTGTCCTCTATGAAAAACTCAATCTGCTCTCAATACTCATGAAGAAATGTACAATCCATTCTGAATGGTAAATATCCAATGTGTGCTGACTGTGTTTAATTACAGGATATGCACCACATACGCTGTGAATGCTCCCTGTTGTGTAACAGAACCAGCAACAGCAAATCATAACAAACTGCTACACAACTGTAAAACAGTCTCAACAGTGGCATTATGTTGTATTCATTCAGGGGGCTGGCTACTGTTTATTGGCATGTATTTCTTGCTACAGCTAAAAATACCCATCCACATCTCAGGAAAAACAAGGCAGGAGTTGCACTTCACACATGGAGCATTAAATCAGCAGCGCGTCTCTCGGTAAACTCAACCGTCAATCTGTCCCTGCTTGTACTGTAGCTTTACGGCCGGCGCGGCAGATTGGTGGAGAGAATACCACTTCCAAGCAGGCTGAGATGGATTCATAAGGCCATTGAATTTCAAAGAAGAAACAACTGAATAACATTAAAAGACAACATCGCCAGTACTGAAACATACTTCACAATTTGGACAGAGAGGAATATTATATTTTCATCTTTTTGACACATGCTTTACACTCAATGCCCATTTCACAAGTGTGGTCTAAGTGTTATGACAAATCGGCAGTGCTGACCACTTCCACCATGGAAATCAATCTGCATGTTTTAACAGAATATAGCAGGAGACAGTTCAGCTCACAAACAGGGATTAAAGCTCACGTTCCACAGACTTTTGCTGCCGCCAAGAAGGAACAGCTATGCTTCCTTAATTGCTGAGATGCGTGTTATTGAGAAAAAAGCTGCCTTGATCCCATATCTGTTTCTTTAGCTGTGTGATAGTAATAAACTCTAGAGACCCCTGCACCCTTCTTTCGTAAAGGAAATTGGATCGGGATGAAATCGTGCAAGTCATTTGGAACAAAAACAGAGCTACATGGTGCATATCCATGAAAAAAATAAATACATTTTTTTTAAAAAGTGTCGCTTGTTCTCCAGTATAAAATGAGTGGCACACAGTCATGGTTTCAAAGTGTTGACAAAAGGGAGGTAGGGATAATGAGTCCTAACAGAGTCAGGGTACAAAACATTCAGCTGTGTTGTCGAGTGAGTAGCTGTGCTTATTTGCATGCATGGAGAAAATACAGCAGGACATCAAGGGGCACAGGTACACAGGGGAGGCTGAGAGGGAATGAAGAGAAAATAACACATGGGTAAGTAAAACTGGAAGAGCTGCCAGAGTGAAACACGCAGAGCCAATAGAAGGAGAAGGGTGGTATGATGGAGATAGACGAGGGGTAGAGGGGAGAAAGCTGTAGGCTGTGATGAAAAATGCACTTCCTGAATGTGTGCAATGTGTGTCTGCAAATGATAAAGACTGGTAATTAGTGCCTTATCTACTGTTAAGCAGACAACTCATTCAACTCAATCTGTGCGCACATAAACACAAAACGCAGGCCTTAATGTGCAAGTGTTGACGCACAAGCGCAACTACAGACACACACACACACACACACACAAACACACACACACACACACACACACACACACACACACACACACACACACACACACACACACACACACACACACACACACACACACCAGCAAAACATTACCCTAAAAATCTGTATTATCACCTCATTAATAACTTTATAAAACATTTTCCATGTCCCTCAAAAGGTGTTCTTCCATTATAATTCTCATTAATTACTTCTGTACCATTTCCATATTTTTTTTCCCCTGTTTCTGCGATTTCTTCAGTATGAACAGTTCTACACAAAGTGAGCTGCTGGGGGAATCTTCCAGCTCTAAACCCAGTAAACCTGGGAGAGAAGAAGAAGACAGGCTGCTCTGGAGAAAAGATCAGTCACACATTCATGGAAAGCACAAATACGTGTACACAGTGATGTGTACAAACATGTGGAGGTTTGAAGACAACACACAAATGACATGACAGTCATGACTATGGTTCTGTTTACTCGCACATTGCTTCAAACTGTACCTCTTTGACTTCTCAGTAACTCATGTAACTGTAAAAACAGGTATTAATGAGAGTCTCACAAAGTGAAAGTGGAGACAACCCCCCCCCCCTCTCTCTTTCACACACACACACACACACTCTCTCTCTCTCTTTCTCTCTGTCTCTTAGCACTTCTAAAACACAGACATCCATGCCAGCACTAAGAGGAAAAAGCTTGGCTGCAGGTACAAATGAAGTCCCTGCGGGCACCACTGCCTCCCATCTGTTACTGTAATTCTCTGTGCAGCTCTCTTGTCAGCTCTCCATAGTTTCTGTTTTTGATGTCATCAGGCATTGGTTTGTGACAGAAAGACAGATTACTTGTGTAATGAGGCACATTCCCAAATATTGAATTTTGAATTACAAGAGGTGCGTTTTCTCAGCATCACTCTCCTGGTTCTTACCCGCCTTCAAAGATGCGAACACGAGAGGGATCGCCCTGTTTGGAGGTGGAGGGTCCTTCCTCTTCTCTCATCTCTTTGTTCTCCTTCTCAGGCTGCTGCTGCTGTTCCTTTACTTCAGTGACGGTGCTGGGTGGGGTGGCATGTACCTACACTCAAGACACACATAAAAATTCAAAACAACTTAAAATAAAATCTTAACCGTCTTCCTGTTAAAGAGTTCTCCATCGAAAAAAAAAAGATTCAAAATCGATGCAGCAGAGCCAGAGATATTGTCATTATTGTTACCCACAATGCAACTCTGCCTCTGACAGTTTGGTCAGAGATTTGGATTTATTAAGCCGGTAGCCTGGAGCCTGTAGCCTCAAGCAGAGATGAGGAGCAGGCTACGGCGGTCTGGTAAGCTCTTCTTTCTAACTCCACACGCCCAGATCAGATTTTTGTTCATTTTCAAATTTGTAGTTTTAAGCCCCAACCAATGCTGCCTCAAGTGATGTCCCCTCAAGATGTCTGCCACTTGAGGCAGTTTATCATATTTTGCACAGCTCCCTCTGGAACCTTTTCCACATATCCAGTAGTAATCCCTAAGACCTGCAAACAGTGTAAAATAGTAAAATAGGTGGAGTTCCCCTTTAAGCATATTAATGTGGTTATGAGTAAAATCCACATATTAGTTAAAAAGGATAACAGAATAACATTCGAGCGACATTTAGTGTCTCTTTAAAAGAGTGGTCTAGATTAAGTAATAAATTCAGTGAGGGTGTACTGTGGTTATGTTTACCTCTGACACACGTGGGGTCCCGCTAGTTGCAAGGGACAGTTTGCCTTTGGCCAGGGTTGGGGCCGTGGCCATGGTGTATGTCTCTGTGCTGTGCTTTTGTTTGGAGCACAGTAGAGACAGGACCACCTTAGTGCTGAGCCCCGGCAAGTTGGGGTTGTGAGCGCTGACGCTCCAGGTAGAATAAACTGAGGTGCGGGGGTCCCTCTGGGCAGATGGGTTAGGTTTGACATAGTTCAGGTAGCACCAGTTGACTGAGGTGGAGGTGTGGAGGCTGGGGTATGAAGGGGTGCTTGGTCTCTCAACCCCCTCCTCCACAACTGGCACCTCTTCCTTTTTTTGACTTGTCTTCTCAGTCGACTCCTTCCCCTCCTCCCCCTCCTTCTCCTTTTCCTCCCTGTTATGTTTCCTTGGTACTTGCTCCTGCTCCCCCTCCTCTTTCACAGTTGTCCCCTCTGCCCTCTCTGGCTGTTTCTTCTCTCCCTCTTCCAGTTTTCTCCCAGTGTCTTTACTTTGTTCCTCCTCTCTTACCTTCTCTTCTACATCCTCCTCCTCCTCCTCCTCCTCTCCTGCCTTATGCTGCTCCCCCTCCTCTTCCTCTTTTACCCTTTTCTGTTGACGCTGAGCCTCTGTGCTGAGTTCCAGACTGGCCGCAGGAGAAAGCATCCGTTTACTTCCTCCAGCCCCCAGTGGACCGTATCCCTCTCCAGAACCTGAGGCCAGCTCGGCAGGCAGAGACAGGGGAAGAATGATGTCTGGAGAAGGGACCTTCAGGTAGGACCTTTGCAGCTTTTCCCGCTCCACCTGGCCCATGATGACCATAGCTGTGCATGAAATGGGTTCCTGTGAGTGGGTGGAGGCCAGGATCTGGGACAGGGTGGTATACATGGCACTGGCATAGGTAGGTATATGGGTCTGTAGGCGCACTGGCACCACAAGGGACACTACTGGTGTAAGTTGTGCCAGGCATGTGGCAATGACCGGCTGTGGGTGGTGGTAGGAGATTCTTACAAGGGATTGGTGGCTAAGTTCAGAAGATATGGAAGATATGGAGGGTCTGCTCTCTGTAGTGGGAGGGGAAGGAAGATGTGCGGTAAGTCTTGAAGGAACAGGTAAGTATAGAGCCTGACCAGCTCTAGTCCTGGAAGAGAACTGGAGAGGAACTAAAGCTGGAAGCTGATGGAGTGGTAATCCCAACTGTTCTGCCATGTGGATCTGCGCTGGGTGTATTTGTATATGTGGAGGTCCTGACTGTGAATGTAAGAAGGCTCTGTGGATGATCTGGGTGGACAGTACTTCAGTGATGGCTGTGGTGACAGGGAGTAGCTGGGATAGCGATCCCGGGGTGAATGCTTGCTGGCCTCTGGGCTGCAAAGGGAGCACATCGTGACGGGGAGGGAAGATTTGCGGCTGTAACAGCTGCAAGGCTTTCCCTGTGGCTTCCAGGCTGAACCGGGGGCTTGCCTCGGTTGAATAAAGAGGAGGAAGGATGGCACGGGAAGGACCAGGCTTTGGACTCTCTGCTCTGGACAACTGACTCATGCTGGCCCCCTCCTCCTGCTCAGGTTCCCCTAAGGTGGCATGCTTCACAAGGAGACACTTTCTCCTTTCTTTCCAGGAGGATGTAGACTGCTGAGGCGACAGGGAACCATAGTCAAAGGATTTACTTCTGGTCTCTGAGATCTGCTCTGTTTGCTGGGGGCTGGCCGGGGCCTGCTCTGAGGCTGAGCGCCTCATCTCCTTGTGGCTTTGGTGGTGTTGGTGGGAAACGGTTGGCACCATCAGCATCTGGGAGCTTTGGCTACTGATGGCCCAGATGGCAGGCTCTGATCTTGCTGGGTCTTCAAAAGAAGCGGAAAGGCTTGAAGTGTGTGAGATGTTGCTCTCTTGACTGGGGCTGCGAGACAAAGACACAGACTCAAAGCTAGACTCCCCAGAGGACTGGGCTGCTTCTGCCAGGCGGAGTCTCTTCTTCTTTGGTGGCAGCTTCTCTGCAGGGAGCTGGGCCAGAGTTTGGCTACGCTGAGGCCACTGGAACTCCTCCACTCTCTCTGCCTCCTAGGATAGATAAATAGTTTACTCATTAAATTCTGTATAAATGTATAAATAACATCCTGTCTAATATAAAAGGACATTGACTTCTCAACTGTTTCTTAGGATATTGAAAAAAAAAAAATCAATGGATGTTGAACGGCATTCAAGCAAGGCAGTCAATTGTACAAAAACGTGCGAAAATACACACCCAAATACTACGGAATACTAAAAATAAGCATGTACCTTGGAAGAGGATGCTGTCACCGGCGGTGACACAGATGGCATGTCAGCATCAGGCTCCACAGTAACGAGGATCTCTGGCACTTGGATGTTTGGCTGGCGGATGAGGCGAGATGTAGAGGGTGATGGTTTTGGCTCGGGTTGTTTTGTTTGCTGACTCTCTCTGAGGTCTGGTTCTTGACTTTCCATGGATATACTCTCCTGCTTCTCAAAAGAGCTTGTGTGTTGGATGACGGACACGCCCTTCCTGTCCTGCTGCTGCTGTTGTTTTGGCTCAGTCTGTGAAGAAACACCTAGAAACGTACAGCACAAACACAACAAATCTATCATTATATTATAGTGGTGTGCTGCTTTTGAATGATGAAATGACCTGCTCACACAGGATAGGGTAATAATTTTATCTGCTATTGCAGGGATACATAAACAAACCTGAGAGGGCCTGGCTGTGCTCCGGTCTGCTTGGCACTGGAATGAGGCCTGCAGAGCTGCCTGATATGGCTACAGACCCTGGGCTGGGAGGGTCCTCCTCCAGGCTCTCCTCTTTCCTCCTCTTCCTAACAGCCATGGCCAGTGCCCGGAACTTGTAGTGCATCATCATCTGTGGGCGATCCTCCCTGCATGTTTTCCTCACATCCCCACTCTCTTGTTCCAGTTTTTGCTGTCCTGGGCAGATGCCCTTGTGGGCCTCGTAGCCTTCACTATGTTGGAAGCGAGCCCTACATGCTTCACATTCAAACAGGCTGGAAGTCTTTTGCTGCTGCTGCTGCTGCTGCTGCTGTTGCTGCGGCTGCCTGGCTAGTTCAGGACCTCTGGCTGAGGAGGAGGAGGAGGAGGAGGAGGTGGGACCGGACTCCTCCAGCATTACCTCAGCTCCCAGCGGGACTTCTATGGCAGGTTGGCGCCTCAGCATACGCTGGGCATGGCCAACCCTCATCTCTGCTACCACTGCTTGCTGTTCATCGAATGACTGGCAGAGACGGTAACCTCTAGGAGACATGGTGCCAGAGGTGGAGGGCTCTCCTTGGCTGGTAGATGATGGCATTGAGTGGCTTCTGAGCAGAGGCACTGATGACAGCTCCTGGGTACCTGCTGGATCTGCCTCAGGATTGTGGAGGTGCCGCAAACCACTGGGTCCGGGGGCTTCTCCTTTGGGATCGAAGGTGTAGGTATCTTTAGGGGCGCTAAATTTAGGTGACTCCATGCTGCTCTTCCTGGACAGAGAGGAGCGACGGGGCTTTACACTGTCAATCTCACTGGTATCTACTACTGCTTCATTGATAGTGATGAGCTTCGTGATGTGTTCTATTACTTGGGTTTTGGGCACAGCGAAAGGAATGCTTTTTTCCTCCGTTCCTGAGGATGAGGAAAGTGAAGAATGAGGCTGCTGCTGATGAGGACTGCGCTGCTGCCCTCCCAGTCTTCCATATTTCCCTAGAATAATTTCTGCGTAGGTTTTGGCACTGGCACTGGGAGGGCTAACTTGGGACAAGTCAGTGCTGCCTGATCCGGAAAAGTAGCCAGACTCTGTGCTGCCTTTACTGCCCGGGCCTAGAGAAGACGATGAGGTGGAGAGGGAGGACGGAGGGTCATCTGGAGAAGCCATGGGTCCACGTTTCCTTTCACTAAGCCTCAGTGCCAGTCTTTGCTTGACAGCCTGGGAGTCTTCAGGCCTCTGGGTCTCCTCTGGGCCTCCCAGTGCTTCCTTACCACCTTTCCTCGGATGGCCCAACATCTCCTTGGAGGAGGACTTTCTGTGTCGGCCCGTCTCCTCCTCAGACTCAGTGCTTTCTCCCTCTGTGTGTTCTTCAGGGTCTTCTCCAACGCCACTGCCCTCTGGTCCACTCAAACTGGGCTCATCACGACTGGACGCCAGGCCCGCTTTAATGCGATGGGCATGGGACTTGCGGTGCTTGTACAGGTTGCTCTTGGTCTTGAAAGAAAAGCCACAAGGGGCACAAGGGTAGGGTCTTTCTCCGGTATGAGAGCGAATGTGTTTCTGAAGAACGCTTGGCTTGGCACATGGACGGCCACAATAAGTGCACACATATTTCCCTGGTTTTTGGGGTTTTTTCTCCCCTTTTCTGGGTGAGCTGACCCCTTCTTGGCCCTCTTGGCTGGACTGAGATGGGACCCCATGACCATGCTCACCCCGGGTGGAGGAAGTAGAGCGGAGGGATGAAGTTGACGAGGAAGCTGAAGAGAAGAAGCTGCCTCCTGAGGGACCTGGGTTGTCTGATTGCTGCCATGCTACCGCTTGCTGCTGCTGTAACCGAAGCAGAAGGTCAGTGCGTTTGGGCTGGCGATTTTGCAGGCGGCCCAAGGCTCTGTGCACAGGACGAGGATTAGGAGGCTGCTGGGGCTGCTGAGGTGGACAAGATCCTAGTGAGGATTCAGCTGTCACATGCTGCTGCTCTTGCCTTCCAGAGCGCTCCTCATCAGCCGGATGGCTGGGCTCAGCCTCCATAGAGTGGGGAGGAGGCCTCACAGACACGCAAGGAAGGGCTCTTGGAGCCTCATGGGGCTAACCGCATGACAGCAGAGAGGTCAGAGTCAGGGGAACAGACTGAATTGTAAATCAAAACGGAGGGCCTTTCGCAGTGTGGGCCAAAAGTTATTCAAGAGGACCAAGTGAGGCATCATTAAAAGGTGCCCTGGAGCTGCATGGATGCAGGTAAACATGGATCATTTCTCTGTACAAAGCAGCTCTGCTTCTGTCCAGCCTCAGCCATTCTAACAGCCCTCCCAAGGTCTTTTCTCCATCTCCTTTGTTGGTTGTCAAGAGTGTTAGCCGTTCAGCTTCTGAATGGGTCTAAAGGAACACAGAGGAAAAACAAGGAAGCACTGAGTCATTAAAGTGGAAACATATTAATACATGTTTTAGATTCTCTAAAAAAGGTTTTGTCACAAAGAGCTATGGCAAAGGGCTGTAAAATATCCCCAAGTTCTCATTTTTTCCTCATCACTCTGCACTAATAGAAACAGAAATACAAAGTTTTTTCTTGAAAAAAGAAACAAAAAAAAAAAAGATATATAATAAAGAAAGGTCCTGCTCTGCTGACTTCAGCCAACCTCAGGGCTCATTACTGCATACTCAGAAACAGAAAACACACAGGACCTTGTGAAGATGACATAGACTTCTTGAGATCCAGGGTTTTTTGAAAACAGGCCTTTCCCATACAGTCTGGGAAAGAATTACATTGGTAAAGTAGAAGGCAAAAATCATTAGTGTCCATTTATCAAACTCTCTTCAAAAACTGATCCCACATATCTTACTATGATAAACAGGGTTACATTTCTTGGTGTAGTGTTGAATGACGTCATTGTTGTCATGAGAACATTAGCAAGGTAACTGCATCAGCAACATGTTAGTGCTCTCATCTGTCCTGGCTTCAACTCATTTCAAATCTATTATGAAATGTTAGGTACAGATAATCTTGTTATTGTAACACTTTGAAATGACATTGTGATCATCTGGTGTGTGCCCACATACTGTATAAACACATAAAATTAAAAGCTCCATTTCAAATCAAGACTTCCACTCGAAACAGACATATGTGACTCGATTCTGACCCATGACTGGCCAACTCTGCAGGAGTCAGAGCAGCTCAGGGCCAGCCGGGCAACATCCACAGCACAGGCACCAACAGAGGAGACCACAGTGTCAGGGCAAGTAGTCATAACAAATGCTGGGAATATAGCCTATGCTTATCTGATCTGGCACTAAAGCTAAAGGGGGTAGATGGAGGGGAGCTGTTTTCTAGTGGATAAGAGGACTTGACAGCAACGTGGTCTCAGCCTACACCCCTCACACTCTGCTGTTATACAGCCACCAGGGTGCAGTGTTTATGAGGGGGCCAAGACGAAAGTGGTCACTTGCCTGTTGTGAAAGGGTACTGTGAAACCCTTTATCAAAATCTATTGCAATATTGGCCACTCACACACTGCTAGAAAGCTGTTTTTATGAGTCCAGCTGATCATCATGAAGACTTAGAGACGAGGATGCAATGAAATCTCTTCTTTTATCAAGATGTATGTTCTGTAATATTTCCCACTTACTACAAATCCTGCACTCTCTCTCAACTCGAGACACGGGATTCTTGTACCGCAGCCAATCAAAACATATTCTGGGAATGGATGGGGCCAATCATAACATTTTCACTGAGCAGCCATGCCCAACCGCTGACAGTCCCAGCACAGGCTCATCCAGAGTATCAATCATCGTCTGCTCGCAACCCCCCGACTCTGTCAGACTCTGGATATCAGCGCTCACTGAAGGAGGACACCTTGTATGTTCACCTCACAGCTGTGATGGTGTAGACAGCGTGCACCACCTCTGACAGCTCTAGGAACATACCAGGAGAGAAGACAACAAGAGGGGGGGGGACTTCTAATACTATGCCCTGCTGCAGAGAGAGAAAATGCATAGATGGGCTAAAATATTAGATATCTACATTTGAAGTATGAGTAAGAGAGAGTGCAGGATGAAGTTAGCCGAGGTGGGGTAGAGAGAAAAGACTGAAGCAGTGATCCAGTGGCTGAATAAACAGGCCCAGCAGAAGACTGCAGCTCAAGGTGCCAATGGTGGCAAGGCAGCAGTGACAGTTTTTTTTTTTTTTTTAATGAGCCACACTTGCTCTCTCCATATGTCTAAAAAAAAACTCTGCACAGTCAGCCTTCATTAGAGCCAGTTTACAGTGGGAAAAAAAAGGAAAGAGAATCACTCTTCCTCTCGGAAACAACTTGACATATTCCCGGCTCCATCTCCACATTCCTCCACATCTGTTCGGGGCCGATCATCTGTTTAGTGTGTGTTTCCCCCGAGCAGACCAGCGCTTTGATTACAGCAGACTTATACCATCACCACTCAGCAATTAGGCAGCATAACAAACTGAATCAACACCATTAAAATTCACTTCTCTGTTTTCAGCTGTCTGTCTTCCACCTTCTCAGCTGTACAGGAAGACTTTTGTATGTGGCGGCAGCTAAAGACTTCTCTGTCGTGAGCTGTCGAGCCAGAGAGACACACATTACTCTGCAGTTACATGTGGAAAAGTTAGATCAGGAGGGAATGGAGTTTACAGAAGAGAAACTTCAGATCCTGTCTGAAGAGTGTTGTTCCTCACACACTTGAATTTTAGAGAGAAAAGCGACATGACAATAAAAATTGTAGATAAAAGACGAGTAGGTGTGGGTAAAGATGGGTAAAAAGCGAGTGGGGTCTGGCTGTTGAAGAAGGATGATGCTGTGCATAGAAAACAGAAGGACTGAGCAGGAAGGAAAGTACAAAGAGCAAGACAAATTGTCCTCCTCAGCCCCTCTGTAATAAATGTCTTTGTTCATGTAGTTGGTTATCAGAGTGTAAGTTTAATGATCTCTGGCATAGCTGCTGATGCAGCCCTTAAACAGGGCGATTAGAAGGTTTTAAGGTTGAGGGAGAGCACTGCTTACATTATTCATGGCAGTCTAGACTGCCAGCTCTGAGCGGGGAAACACACAGTCAGGGCCTTGCCAGGAAGATGAGGGAAAGGAATGCCAGAGTCTAGCCTACATTAAGCCAAAACACACACACGCACACCCTACAGCACACATACAGTGTACAGTACTACTCTCCCCAGAGCAATACCCACCAACACACAGCAGCAAAATCTACTCTGACAGCCCTGACCAGCCAATCAGCTGCAGTGCCCTGAGGTGACCCACCCTGGTTCCACTCAGACGATCCTCCTGCTGTTTGACGAGGGGTTTTCCTTTCTCATCATCCGCATTCCACGAGGGATGACTTATTATCAGTGGTGCATATCACATACAGCGCTTCAATGCACGATGGGCTTAAATACACACCTCCAGGAATCAGTTGCTTACAAGTGAACATTATAAGACCTTGGGTGATACACACAGGTTATGTAAATGAGTCTAGCCTTATTGAAGAGGGCGTTCTTCACCCTGCTCTAATTTTAGACATAGGTGTGAGCAGGAAGCCACTGATGCAGCTGTTATACGGTGTTATGTTGTTTTTGATGGGAGGTGTCAGATCAAAACCCCAAAGACACCCCCCAGCCCCCCCCCCCCGCAGTCGGCCTTGGACCAATGTATGATAATTCACACAACAGTCTCATGGTGTATGCAGTGATTTGTTGTGTGAACTACTTTCTGGTGTCTGTGCCTAAAATGTGATTAACAACAGGTCCATCGAGAGAAGAAGACAGGATGAGTGAGGAATGGAGTGTGTGTGTGTGTGTGTGTGTGTGTGTGTGTGTGTGAACATGCAAAGGGGCTCTGTCAGCAGAAACAGGCACTGATGCAAGTACCCAAGGGAGCCCTGACACACGTTAGAGCTCACACTCCATCTCCTTCTCTCACACATACACACGCACGCACACGCGCGCACACACACACACACACACACACACACACACACACACACACACACACACACACACACACACACAGTCTCCTTCTCCATCATCTTGGCTGTGTCTATTAAGCCCAGCCGTTATACTTCTAAAAGTGTAAATTCCATAAAACAAACATTTAGCTCAGCTCCTGCTCAATAAGTAGCACAGGAGCTTTGCAGCAGTTTTACAGTTGAAACTTCATTATCATGCACAGGAGAGTGTGGCCGGCAGAGTTAGCGTTCATTTCCTCATCAATACCCAGACGTATTCATGCAGCTGGTAATGACGGATAAAAAATATGGGCTAAACATTAAATTAGCTTGTGCCCTGAGAACAGATAAACCCTCTTAAGTGCTTTTTAAAAAATCTGCTGTCATACTGTACCCCCCCCACCCCACCCCATCCCAAACACACAGACATCTCTCCCTCCCCATTCTCTCTTACTGGCGGTAGCCTGGTGCAAGTTCCCATGGAAACCAGCCTACTCTGAGCAACGGCAGATGGAGAGGGAGCTGGAGGTCTAAATTTATCTCCCAGCATCCTCTCTGACTACAGACGCACACTGGCAGCAGGAAGTGAAGAGGGGAAATGCTTGGCGTCTGCATGCATCCATTGACAGGCTGGCATGACCCTTGACATTTAACCCCCTTTGAGTGACAACGGGTGTTGATGTCACAGCAGATGAATACATACAGTGCTGCCTGCGACAGCTTGAACCGCAACAGCAGTACAACATTTGATACTGTAGAAGAGGCTTTGAGGCATTCTCAAAGTATACGGTACATAGAAAGTTAACAGTCTTGCCCGTGTGAGCACCACCAAGAAAACAGAGCTGTCAATCAAACTCAGGCCCCAAATCCTAGACAGCAACATTAACCAATCACAGAACCATGGGGAGAAACTGTTTGGTTTGTTAAATGACTGAAAAAAGAAATCCAGACAACAGTACAAGACGCTAGATAGAGCATAAAACCTCAGAGGCCAAGACTCACACTCACCCAGGAATATCACTGCTGTCAGTAGTATGCCGCGCGCCAAGGAGGACGCCGTCTGAAAAAACACCACATACCAAAGCTCTCACTCACTCTCTCTCAGCTCTGTGCAGGATGCATCGGGATCGCTGTACCTCTGAGGTGAGACGGTGTAGAGAAGGATTTCACAGGGCTTTGATAAGATTGGCAGTTCACAAGCATCGCAGTGTTCACTTTGATTAAACACAAGCCAGTGCACTGCAGGTCAATAACCGGCCTTTAAATCAAACACGAGTGGCATGGCAGAGCAGGTTTAATGCACACCTCGGCGGCAGGAGAAGATTGTACTCGCAGTTTTTAATAATACCCCTGGCAGCGGACAATCTGCCCCTTTAGTGACATAATCAACTGAAAAAACAAAACTGACCACCACTTCGACTAAA